GTAATTTGGCCCCTTTTATCAAAAAAAAACATACAAGTCATTTGGCCCCCATGATATTTGATTCCTACCTCTGCCACTGACTGCGGTGTCTTTCAGGCGTGCATGCATCACCATGTATCTTGTTTGAAGAAGTGAGGAGGCCGGAAAGACCCCTCACAAATCAGAACTGACTACTCAGATGCTAGCTTTGCTCATGTGTGTGTTTGGTTTGAGCTTAAGTTTACTGGTTCGATCTCTGAGTCTTGACAGATTAGTGAGAACCTAAAGACCTATCATAAAGTGCAGATCAGTTAGGAATCACATGACAAAATCTGCATATCCTTTAGAAGTCCTATCTTGCTACCCGTCCTTTTCCCTTTTCTTTTTTCATTTCTCTTTTTTTTTGCTTGGTTAGTTTAGTTTCTTTAGTTTTCGTTAGAAATGTTTTGGTTCAACTTGTAAGTCCATAGACAATAGTACAGACAATAGTTGTACCAGGTCACTTATAGGCAAAATATAGATAGAATGTACGATGATTCATTTGAATATAATCAGTTTTAGCTATAACCATTTGTGTGTACAATAAATTACAAACAAATCCACACAGCAGCAAAACCACCACCCGTGGTCTTTTCTTTTTCTTTTTCTACGTGGCAGTTGGTTGGCTGAGTTAATCTTTTTCTTTTCTTTCTTCTCAAATTCGTTCTACTAAATATAAAATGAAATGTGTGATCTTGAAACAAAAATCTACATTACCCCCTAATATTACCCTTGTCTTGTAGTAATTCATTGTATATGAACTTTAGAAATTAAGGTATGCTTGCATGGTAGTGGGCCAAATGATCAAATTTTCCGGCTATGATTAAAGGATTGCTGACAGATATGCATGTGAAGTTGGTTTACCTGAGGGCAACTTCTAGGGCCAAGGTTGCTTGATTTCTTCTCTTAACTAAGATATTGTCTTAGTTATGCAGAAGCTAGGTGTATGCTCATTATACTTTGTAACCTCTTGATGCTACATTTTGAGTTAATAAAAATTTCATTTATCGAAAAAACTAAGATGCTATCTAGCTAGCTATTGCCGATACTGCGACATCTTTCATGCGTGCATGCATGATCATGCAAAATGTGTGTCTTGATCAAAGGAGAAGGCTGCAAAGACCCTCACAAGTCAAAACTGACTACTCGACGCTAGCTTGAGTCCATGTTTATGTGTTGGGTTGAGGCTAAATTTATTGGGGTCAATACCGACAGATGAGTTCTGAGAACTTAGACCTATCATAAATCATGAAGTGCAGATAAATTGGGAATTGCACAACAAAATCTAGTTTAGAACCATTAGAACCTTCTTTTGCCTCTGCTTTTTTTCCCCTTAGGACCTTCTTTTGCCTTTTTTTTATACCTTTCATTTTATCAGTTTTCTGCTTAATTAGTTTGGTTTTCGTTAGGGAGGTTTTGGTTTGTAGCCTTTAAAGACATAATACAACAGTATCACATACTACTGATCATTTATACAGACAATAAAATAGATAATTTGTGCTATAATGGTTCTAGTTTTGGACATGCCGTTTGCAGATAGAAGTTACAGACAACATTAAGACAAGAGCAAAGACACCATCAGCAATTTGTCTATAGAATCATAGAGAGTGTACATACAACTACAGAAAGACTATTGCTCTCTTTTCTTCTTTCCTAACTAGCAATTCTTACAGACGGCTAAGATAAGACTATCGGACATACCTAAGTTTGGCAAGCTCTCAATTTTTCCTTCTAAATTGCACCTTGCTGGTGAAGTTGTGGACAGAAATATAAACAGATTTCTATTAGTACAAAAGTGTCGGGCAGCTTCGGAATAACATGCTTGTTACTCAAGACTGAAGACATGTCCGTCAGTAGTTGGTACTCGGGCATGTGCATGTAACTGCAATAACTAGTAGACTGACACTCTGTTGCGCCATTGCGCCCTTCCTCCTGAAGCCACACTTCAGCGGCTCGGCATCAAAAAACAGCCGCCGCCCCACCTCTTGTTCGAAAATAAAGTCAAAGTTGGGACCCTGGGAAGTGATATCACAACACAATAGCTGATTTAGACGAGTGAAAGAGTAGAGCTGCAAAAGGTGAGCACTGAAGCAGAGCCCAAACTTGAGATATTTTGACTTTTAAGTAGATCTGCAAGCCTGGGACATACATAGCATTTGACGCAGCTGCTCCCGTCTAAGAGCTCCACTGATTCTGCTACACCCTGCTACTCTGTGAAGATCCTGTAGCACAGGTGGACAACCAAAATTAGCGAACAACACATTACTGAACCTCATAATCTATCAAGTATCTTACCTCCCATACCTGCTGCGCCGGCTTCCAAGTTCATAAATAGTAGCTGCCTAAGACTGAGAGGATATGACTTAAAATGAAAATTATGTTGTCTTTCTTCCAGATGAATCATGCAAATACAGGATGAGACCATGTTGATGTACAGTAAGGCTTGAACTAGTTGGGATTACTTAAATTAAATGGTTAGAAGAGAGGGTAAGGGCAAGGGTGGAGGCTTATAGGTGTGCAGCCGCACCATCACATTAAAAATCCTCCGTGTGCATAATATTTCTAAAATTATTACAGCAGCTATTCTGTTTTCACCAAAATATTTGAATCCATACCCTGAGAACACTGCCTGTACATAAATTTATATGTAATTTCACAGATGGGATGTGCCAACAAAGTGGGAAGTTCTTAATGTTTGGTCCATAACTCAATTCAGAGTGATATATCTATACGTGTTGCTACCTGCCAGCAGATGAAAACATAAGTATTCTACTGCCTTGCTTCTAACATGTGCATATGCAGTTGTCGAGTAATTATATTGCTTTAAATTAGCACAGTAAGCCAATCATTTCTAGATCAATTTTGTAGAACATGTTTTAAAGTTTAGGGAAACTAACAGAACTTTATGTTTTTTCTGATAGCTTTGGCAAAGGGAGGCAGCAAGCTTGAGGCAGCAACTGCACGACTTGCAAGAAAGCCACAAGTATGGTGATCTTCTATTAATTCTGCAAAGAAAATAAATCACCAATTAATATAAGCGGAAGTAACTGCTGCATACTGTAATTATCAAACAGAAATATAATAAAAAAAGTACCCAAACAAAACTTAGATGCTCCATCATTCAAAGTGATTCCCATTTACGCACAACAGGGTTTTACTAGCAATACTTAGAAGTATTTCAACTGTATTAATGGAATGCCATGAGTAACTATTTTGCATGATTATAGGCAACTGATGGGAGAGGAGCTTTCCAGCCTAGGTGTAAGAGATCTCCAGGGTTTAGAGAATCGGCTCGAAATGAGTTTACGCAGTATCAAAACAAGGAAGGTTATTACATGTGTTATCCACCATCTGTAATTTTGTGTTACTGTTTGCTTCAATCTAATGATGCAGCAAAAATCTATTAAACAGGACAACCTTCTGAGAAGTGAAATTGAAGAGTTACACAGGAAGGTTTGGCCTTACAATTAATGTCCTACTTATATTATTTCAAAGAACTCTGCATGCATAGAAGATTTCTACTAACATTTTAACTTCTAAACAAACTCTGCAACAGGGAAGTCTAATCCACCAGGAAAACACGGAACTGTGTCGTAGATTAAACATCATGTCACAACAAAAAATGGAACTGAGCAGAAAGGTTTGGTGCACAATCCTTTGTCAAAAACTTTAGTCAAATGATGGCACGTTATCAGAAATAAGCTAAACTAACGACTTAATTTCAGCTTCAGAGCTGTGAATCGGGAGGTGCCACTGATGCAAATAAAAGCTCTAGCACTCCCTACAGCTTTCGTATTGTACAAGACGCAAATATTCCTGCTAATCTTGAACTGAGCCAGGCACAACAAAATGAACAGGAGCACTCCGAAACAGACGCTCCAGCACTGGGGTAAATATTCTCTTCTAGCATCCAAAATTGGATTATCCCAAGAAGTATACATACACCTAATCAAGGATATATGCTTTTGAATGTAGCAGACTTCAACTGTCCTAAGACGATCTAATACATTCTGGGCAACGTCATGGGTAATCAAAAATATCAAATCATGATTCAGAGCACTTGGAGTTGGATAATGCAGCATGTTGTGCGCTATACTAGCCCATAAAGAAAAGTGCACAGACTACAGACAGGACAGATTATGCTGCCAGGGGCTATATTATATTGAAGTTGTGACATAATGGTTGTTGTAATGATACTAGTTGTAACATCATAATTTTTATGCTTATGCCCACATGACATTAAAGTAATTGTGTATCGATAGCTGTGTACAATCAGCATTAATTTTTCTAGTTCTTCTATGAACTAATAATTAGGCTGGTTGATACTTCAAGTCGATGCTGGCAGATTTCAGTTCCCACATTCCACCTGGATCCTATAGTGCGGTCATGGAAAATTACAACGTTCTTCAATCTTCATTACTTGTGAAAGTACTCCCTCTGTAAACTAATATAAGACCGTTTAGATCACTAAAGAGGGAGTACTTCACAAGTACAACAATGTCCAAAATTCAGAAAGCATGGATCTATGATGGAAACGTATAAAAAGTTAAAAACCATTGGTTACATGCAAGGGTGAAGGAGAGGCTCCACCAAGGTGAACTCTAGCACCACATACACCCCAAACAAAAATTAGTCCAACGAGATTCTCGTTAACACTCAGTAATACATGCCGAAAATGGTCAGTCGTGGAACAATAGCTTGGTGTCACGATCAGACCCGTTAAGGTTATACATATTGAGATGAAGAATTATACTACATTTCAGTGTCTTACTTGCGCCTTGTTTGCAAGTAATGCAGGCGTCCTACTTGCGCCTTCCCCGCAAGTAATGCAGTTGTTGCCTCATGCTCGGTGCCGCCACATGCGTATCTGGTCAAGCGACAGACCATAAGCATTAGAATATTTCGTAGCCAATGTCAACTAATTGATAATTTGATATACATCAGCAAAGTGAATGAACGTGCACTGCGACTTTAAACAACTGACAAAGGAAATGGGGAGATTGCTACTTCATACAAAAGTGTAAATGAAGCCAGCATAGTGCTAAAACTAATGCATCATCAGAGTTGGGGATATTAGCTACTTACTGTTAAATGGCAACAAGAATATAGATAGTGCATCATCAGAGTTGGCGATATTAGCTACTTATTGTTAAATGGCAACAAGGATATAGATAGTGCCCTGAGGTGTACTACTCGTGGACTAGCACATGAAAAACACGGCTGAAAAATACGAACAAAAAAATATCTGAAATTAACTTATGGCACGGAGATAATAGGCACTTACTGTATCACAAAAATTCAGGTCCAAATTCTTTTCACAACTTCACAAACAAACAATGAGGATTGAAAAATCAGATCCAAATCTTTTCACAACTTCGCTCACAAATTTATGAGGATTGAATATTATCCTGCTGCTAGTATTCAGAGGTGGATTTTCCTTTTCCTTTTGGAAGTGTGTTTCGAACTCAGATATATGAAAATATGTAACACGACACATACATGTTTTTCTAATGCTGCAATTTTTTTATAAATGAATAAAAACAAAAGAAATGCATACATGTTGTATGAATGCTGCTATTTATTTATTATGTTTTTTTTTCAGAAAGTTGGGTGGTCTTGTGCACTAGTATACCTGAAAGTGCTGGCGCACCGGAAGTCGAGCTTTCTGAGAGTACAAAAATCGAACCATACCGCTCAAATTTTGGTGGAAAAACAATCCGCATTGCAGGCTTTCATCTAATCCCCTGCAGTACATGAATCTACATCCATACCACAAATGCCATCTAAAATTTTAAACAGCCTGCGGCCAAATCCATCTAATCGCCTGCAGTACATGAACCCTACCGATGAATGAAACCTACTCAAAACCGCCAGATCCACCATCCCACACCACCGCAGCACAAGCAGCTCAAACACAAAACGTAGTAAGAGAACAAAAGCAGAGATGCAGCAGCTGTACCTCGAGTCCTCCGCGAGCTCCGGCCACCATCCAGCCAAGAATGGGGGTTGTTGGGTGCGTGCGGTGCGAGCGCCGATGGAGGGTCTGGTGGCGCTCGCCGGCCTTTTATAGCGGGGGAGCGGAAGTGTCTGGAAGGATCGGGGCCGATCCAGAAGACCCTAGTGGGGGATAGAAAAAGGCGGGGAATGACGACGACGACGCGGTGGAGGGAGAATTGGCCTTTCGGCGACGGCGAGAGGGGGAGGAGGCGAGGGATTAGGAGGGAAGAGATTTGGATTTGGAGATTAGTTAATTGCGGGCCTCGGCGAGGCGACGGGGGTCAGTGGCCGCGCACGAGGCCACGTCGGCGCGCGCATTTTAAATGGAACAGGTGTCGGGGGGCGGAGCGCGGGTTGGCCAACGGGAAAGGCGCGCCTCGCCTCGCCCAATGGGGCTCCGCCTTTCTATATGCTCTGCTGGCTCGGTTTGAATAATGGGGACGCGCCAGGGGTGGCCCCGGAGCTCCGAAACTTCGAGAAACTTGTACGATCTAGAATCATCTATTAGGGTGTGTTTAGGAGTCTAAACTAGGATTAGATTACGCGGGACCACGATAGTGGGAGGTGGACGATCACATGCTAGCTAGGGAGCTATCGATGGAACTGATTAGAGTGACCCGGAAGCTTTATCTTCAGGTTGGCCCGGGGAACTTGGAAGCTTCGAGAAACATGTAAGTGGATTACGAATCGAAATCGTGGATTAAGATGTGTTTAAGTTCCTCGATTAAATATAATGACCGGGGTAAATGGCACACAAAAACCGCTTGTCTTGGCTTATTTTTTGCATGGATGACCACGGATTTTCATCTTACCCACACTTACAATATTGGTTAACAATTCGAACTTGGTGCAAGTGCGCGAGAGGCCTTATCGAGTCCACGCTAAAGCTTCGCCTTTCTATATGCCTGCTGGATCCTCGGTTTGAATATTGGGGATGGGCCAGGGTGGCCCCGGAGCTTCGAAACTTCAAGAAACTTGTATTGCGATTACGACCTAGAATCATCCATTAGGGTCCATTAGGGTGTCTTTAGGAGTGTAAATCATGATTAGATTACGCAGAACCACAACAATGGGAGGTGGATGATCTGGGAGGTGGATGATCACATGCTCGGGAGCTACTACGTACCAAACTGATCGGGTGACCCGGAAGCTTTATCTTCAGGGTGGCCGGCCCGGTGAACTTCGAAGCTTCGAGAAACATGCAAGTGGATTACGAATCAAAATCATGAATTAAGATGTGTTTAAGTTCTTCGATTAAATATAATGACTGGGGTAAATGGCACACAAAAACCGCTTGTCTTGGCTTATTTTTTGCCTGGATGACCACGGATTTTCATCTACCCAAACTTACAATATTGATTATCAGTTCGAACTCGGCGCAAGTGCGTGAGAGGCATTATCAAGTCCACGCTAAAGCTCCGCCTTTATATATGTTGCTGGCTCCTCGGTTTGAATATTGGGGACGGGCCAGGGTGGCCCGGAGCTTCGAAACTTCGAGAAACTTGTACTGCGATTACGACCTAGAATCATCCATTAGGGTGTCTTTAGGAGTGTAAAGTATGATTAGATTACGCAGGACCACAATAATGGGAGGTGGATGATCACATGCTTGGGAGCTACTACCTATCAAACTGACCAGAGTGACGCAGAAGTTTTATATTCAAGGTGGCCGGCCCCGGAAACTTAGAAGCTTCGAGAAACATGTAAGTGGATTATGAACCGAAATCATGGATTAAGATGTGTTTAAATTCCGCGGTTAAATACAATAACCATGGTAAAAAGTCAAGCAAAAACCGCTTGTCTTGGCTTACTTTTTGCATGCATGACCACGAATTTGGTGTAATCAGCTTCATCTTACCCTGACTTGCAAAAAAAAATTACGGGATACCCAGACATAAAATATTGCTTAATAGTTCGAACTTGGCGCCAGTGCGCCTTATCGAGTCCACGCTGAAGCTATGAAGTTAATCAAGGGCCGGTGTTAACCCTAGTTGCCGCAAACAACAGAATACCACTTGGACTATGAAATGAGGCAAACAAGCGGTTTTAGTCGGCGGTGAAACAAGCAGTTTTAGGGGCTGTTTGGTTCTAGACCTAACCATGTCACACTTTTCCATACAATGTTGACACACTTGCCTAAAGTTAGTTTTTCAAAATGAGAGCCACAAGTTGGCAAGTCTAAAGAAATCTTATCACACTTTTTAAGTGTATGTGATGTGGGACCCTGGTGTGACTTGCCTAAGGTATGGCTTGAATCAAATACCTACCCAAGTGAGTAAATTGCACAAAACCACCAGTTTGAAGGTTAGATTTGCGAAAACACTACAATACATTTTTTTTGCAGAAAACACCATGTCTACGGTAATCTTTTTGCAAATAACACTGATCGGCGGATTTGGCTCGTTTAAGCGTGTTTATGACAGGTGGGTCCATTTTTTGCTTACGTGGCATAACGTTTTGTGCCAGATGGGTTTTATTCTAAATTTACAAAGTAGTTCCTAGAATTTACATAGACACCCCTGAACTGAAAAACAAAAACGCAATTAGCCCCTCACATGTGAGCCCGATATGGATCTCACGACGACTAGGGTGAGCGCCGCTGCACGCGCAAGTCGTCCCCTCGGCTGCTCGCCGGTGTTGCCGATTCTCACCGTCGCTACCAACTGCCGCTCCTCCCCGGCTTCTCCGTGGTGCTGCTGCTCCCCTCACCGCAACCCGTCGAGCTGGTTCTCGCCGCTGCCCTGTGAGCTGCTCGCCGCGTCGTGATATTCTACGGAGGAAGTCGAGGTCGGGAGCAGCACGGGCGCTTGGAGCGGCTGGAGGCTCCGGGCAGGCTCGGGCATTAGGAAGACGTAGGCGTGGCGGCACGACCTCGGCAGTCTCCCGAGTTTCTCTCTCTCCCTCCCTCGAACCAGCAGAGCAGCATGCAGGAGCGCCGCCGCCGCCCATCGCCATGGCCCTGAGCTCCACGAAATTCGTCGCAATTAACCAGCTCTC